TTTGTCTCTTAACTAATCTAGAAACTGTGTTGTTAGTTTGTCCTGCCGGAAAACGTCTCGAAACGGGATTGTCCCCCAATTGTCAAAAACTAGAACATCGCTCTGATTACGTTTGATATTGTTCGGCGTGACTGACGAGACATACACTGTCAGAAATCCAGCCGTTTTAGAATGGAAAATTCGTGCAAAGTTTAAAAACGACTACTGATGTTCTCAAACGGCAAATCTCTGTTTTAAAACAAAAAATAATAGTTCTGGACCAAAATTTTACCATTTGGTAATGAAAAATGCGCTTTCAAAACAAAAATCTGTTTGGAAACAGAAATTACGTGTTCACAAACGAAAAAACATCATTCGCACAACGCCTTTTTCTGTTATATCCTTTAACAGTGGGCATTGTTTTAAAAATTTGCGTTATTTTTTCCGTTTGTTAATGATGCGAGTCATTCCTACCTTTGATCGTCATTTTCACCGAACTAGTTTCAGTTACTGACGGCATTACAATAAGAAATGGTCATCCGACATGTTGCATATCATAAGACACTCTCAGGTTAGACCACATATTCCTCGTTTCGCGGCAACAAGCAATAGTATTTTGACTGCTTACGGCTGAACCGCTCTGTTTGAGAATGGAAGTTTTTTAACAGTGTATGTTGACACAGGTTGTGCTGCTTGAGGCAGGCCCCGAAGAACCCCTCGTGCAGCAAGTACCCCCATTCAACTCACACACCTACTCCAACAGCCTATATGACTGGAAGCTCGCAGTGCAGAAAGCACCCAATGACCACACCGGCATCATTTCCAGGCAAGTGGTTTTACACTTCCACTATTTCACACCACTTTTCACTTCCATGCAGCCTACTTCGTGGTTTGCATAAGGTGGGAGTGAGTCTCATTTTTTTTTATCATTTTTTCCTTTTTCTTTTCTTTCTTTCTTTTTTTGGTGGGGGGGGGGAGGTCATATGTCCTTCAGGGGGGATCAGGGTGACAAAAAAGGATACTAGGTACGTTGCTCATGGTGTTGCCACTGCCACGAGGTCTGCTATCACGCTTGGTCAAAAGATTCCAACCCGCTGTAGGCTTAACGGACGTTGGATTCATTAGACCGTTGTAGTACTTAGGTTGGCTTTTAATGCCACAATTCTCTCCATGTGCAGGGCCAAGATGCTGGGAGGATGCAGCGCTCACAACGGCATGATTTACCTCCGTGGATTGGAATCCGATCACCAATGCTGGGAGAAGGCTGGGGCGAAAGGATGGGGCTTCAAGGTGCGTAGATGAGAATTTTCCTAGTAAAGGAAGAGGTAAGGGAGGGTGGGGCACCATGACCATTGGGGCACCATGGCCACCCCCCTCGCGCTCGGGAACTACTTTGCCGACGGCAACCGGTCGACCGGACTTTCGAGAGAATAGGATTCTAACTATTTTCAGCCAGAGCCCTACCTTCTAGCTTCAAGGGTACGACCATAGCACCTCGCCAAAATTTTTGTTAGAGCGTTTTGGCTAAATTGGGCGTATTTCAAATCTGGGATATTTTTTCTCACTGTCACATTTGAGGAGATACGTTCGATGTCTTAGGTTTTTCTCAAAGTGTCGGCTCTCCGGCAAAATATCCAACATCACATTTAATGCTAAGTAGCTTTCTGCTTGCTCGGGGAGCCTTAGAGTCGTAAACTGCATTGTGGGGAGCCATGACCACTTTTTAGTGGGGCACCATGACCATACATATTTGAGTGGTTTTTCTCATTTTTTGGTCTGATAATGATTCATTCGTCAAAAATTTGCTTTTTGCTTCAGAAAATGTATAAGGGTTGAATAATTGCTGCAGAATAGATAGTTTTATCACAAATCGTGAATCACCAGGATGATTAAGAATGGTTCTGAAACTGAGACTTGAAATGGTAGTTTCTCTTGCACTCAATGAGCTCCAAACCGCGAAAGTTGGCCGCGAAAGCGATTCGTGGCTACTTTGCACCGAGACGGTTCTGGCATTATGAGAAACAGCATCTATTTCACTTGTTTGCAGTGTAGTAACCGCGACTATTTTCTTAAAATTTACCAAATTGAAATCTGCATACGAATTTGGATTCGTCTTAGCAAGACATAAAATGTTAACACATGTCATAGCTTTGGATGTGAACTTTGAAAGCCTTAGAGCATTAATTGTTTTAAACCGTCCATTTTAAGGCATCTTAGCACGTTTGAAACTTCGATGGTTTTTAGAGTGTTTTTTTGTTAAGTTGACCGGCCTGATAGTAAGGACAGCGATAAAAACAATTTTAATGAGAATACTGGTAGAAAGTACACTTCTTGGGCCAAAAAATTACTGTGGTCATGGTGCCCCACGGGGTGGTCATGGTGCCCCATTGGTGGGGCGCCAAGACCACTTTGCGTTTTATTTTCCAAAGTGTTCTGTGGCCTGCCGTGCATTGCAGACAATTCCAGTGGGGGGAAAGAGGTCCTTGGAGGTCCAAATAATCCCCTCATGCTGGAAACTTCACTTTTCGAACCACACGGTGGAGTAGAGGGAGGCACAAAAAAAAGGTGGTCATGGTTCCCCACCCTCCCTTAGCAATTATCGGATTCTCGAACGGTGTTTACAATGATTGATACCAACTGAAACTAATTAAATGCTTTACCAAAACTGTTCACAAAACCGAAACCAGCCAGTAGCAAATGTGTCTTGCCAATTTGAATTTTGTCACCGGTTTCACTGAGAATGAAAAAGTCATGTTCAATACCCAATTTTGGGCGAGGTATTATACTTCATCACTCAAATTTGGGCGAGGATTGTTTCCTCGCCCAAATTTGGGCAAATTTGGGCGAGAAGCGTTCCTCGCCCAAATTTGGGTGAGGAAGGGAGTATTAGCTATCTATGTATATGGCTCCGTAGTATTAGGACCCAAATTTGGGTGAGGAAACCTTCCTCACCCAAATTTGGGTGATAACGAATTCCTCGCCCAAAATTTTAGTCATGATCATGACCCTTTCATTCTCAGTGTTTGCACAGAATTGTCCAGTAGATCGAAGGGCCCTTTTCAAAAGATCTTATCTGCTCTACAAACTGAAGTGTGTACTCAGTATGCATCTACAGGTGCATACTTATAAGTACACACTTACAGATGCATACCAAGCTGAGTACACATCTACAGATGCATACTTGGCAGGTATGCATCTGTAGATGTGTACTCAGCCAAGTATGCATCTGTAGATGTGTACTTGATACTGGGCATTTATACGGTGACAAGTACACACCTACTAATGCATACTTGCCAAGTATGCACCTACAGATGCATACTTAACAGGTATGCATCTGTAGATGTGTACTCAGCTAGGTATGCATCTGTAGGTGTGTACTTATAAGTATGCATCTGTAGATGCATACTGAGTACACACTTCAGTTTGTAGAGTGGGCGCTCCTGTTTAAAGAACCGTGAAGAACCGATTAGACTTTTTCCAGACCTTCCTTAAGAAGATAGTGTTATCGATCACAAACTGCCAATTTTCTTTTTGTTTTTCAAACGTAGGAAGTGCTCCCGTTCTACAAGAAGTCTGAAAATGCCCTGGACTCAGACTTGGCAAACGACAAAAAATATCACGCCACCGGAGGACCAATGAGCGTTCAGCGGGCACTCAACGTGGACCAGAACGCAAAGCTGTTGCGCACTGTCTTCAAGGTAACTTGAACGTCTTACGACGGTTCACACAATTTTTTTCACAACTTTAATGGGGGACCCTGGTGAAACTTTCAAGTAGGCTTCAAAATAATCCCAGAAAGTTGAAACTTTGCTTAATTATTAGGTTCATTATGGTGAGTTCCCAAAACAAAATTCAATCCAAAATGTTGAACGGTCTCTGAGAAAAGTGGCTTTTTAGTGGTTTTTAGAGCGTTGGGGAAAAATCTTCCTGCGTCTTTCATTGTGACGGAAAGTCTTGAAAAAATTTTTGGGTTGTCTTAAGATGTATTGAAGAGATTTTAGTGACGGAATTTTCAAATTAAACTTCTGTCCTGAGATATGAGTTTTCAAATTTTAACATTAAAAAAAAAGTGATTTTTTTCCCTTTTTTCAAACTTTTAGGTGTGTTTTAAAAAAAGTAGGGCTGATATCAAGATTCCGTCACTAAAATTTGTCGACAAGTCATCAATGAATAGAGTCCATGCAATACGACTCATGTAGATGTCAACCAGGAACGCAGGAAGTCTTTCTACGACAAAATTTTTTGTCGACTGAGCAAAGCTGTGAAGTTGAGCGTAGAAGCCAACGACAACTGATCTCAATGTTATTTCCGTCCAAATGATAAAGAAACTATCCACTTAGCTTAAAGGTGTTCAACCTGTTGAATCTGAAAGCTTCTATGCACATTTTTATCTATAAACTTTAAAAATACTATTTTTGGCAATTTTGGCGATTTTTTCACCAGGGTCCCCCCTTAAGTTTCGCCAGAGCAGTTCCGGCTCGTATCTAGTGGGAGGGTCACGGGGGTCATGTCCTCTCATTTTGCCCTTAATAAAAACACCTGGTGGGCTATTTATCATACAACCCGCCTTACGTAGGCAAAAGGTGTGACATGACTCTTTCCTTGAGATTGTGGAAACATGTCCGGAACTGTTTCCCATAAATTTTCAATTTTCATTATATATGTTTGGCACATTTTGCGCTACTATCAAAAGCGGGCTTTCAACCTCCACACGAAGTTGTTGAGTCTGCCGTGGACTGGACGATCGGCTGCGTCGCTCTTATCGCTTCGGCCAGAATTCGCGAAAGCAATATAATATTTTCACGACGTGGCGTCGAATTCTTGGCTCACCAGTGATCCACACTGCAAACAGTTTACATTGCGGCCAAAAGCAAAGGACCACATAGCTCAATTACTTACGTACTTTCCACAACAGAAGTGCGTCTCATATTACCCCGAAATTGTCTCATATTACCCCGGCCTACGGTACTGTGGGCATGAGTTCGTCTTTTCAGCGTGAAGCTTGAGCCGAAAAGCAAACTTGCAAGCTCAAATTAAAGCTTTAAGGGTGCGAGGGTTCAGCCTCCATTATGGTACTGTGTGAAAGGCATGAGAAGTTTCGGTGTACTGACTGATGGCAGCCGGGGGGATGGGGGGATCACCTGGTATTTCTAATGCACTGCGAGAAAAAACTACAGAGAATCCTGTTAATTTTTTCACAGCGTCGCTCTGTACCCAAAACCACAGTGATCTCCGTCTTTTAAAAGACGGAGCTCATTGTTGTTTTTTGTGTTCATCTCTCTGTTGTCCGAGCGGCCAATGCCACATCGGGACGGCATGGTCGAACCCTCATAGGTCACCGTTGGGTCCCCGAGGACGTCGACGGGCACCTCACAGGGTCCCCGATGACGATGTGAGCATTTTAGAGCTGTGTTCTGACCATTCGTTGAAAAGGTCTCGCCAAGATCTATTCGAATCAAGAATAAAAAAATTCTTGGTCAACCCCTTTTTTCCTGATTGGTCAACTGGATCTTGAAAAAAGGGGGTTAACCAAGAATTCTTTTTATTCTTGATTCGAGTAGATCTTGACGAGACCTTTTCAACGAATGGTCGGAACCTAGGTCTAAAATGCTCGCATCGTCATCGGGGACCCTGTGAGGTGCCCGTCGACGTCCTCGGGGACCCAACGGTGACCTATGAGGCTATGACCATGCCGTCCCGATGTGGCATTGGCCGCTCGGACAACAGAGAGGTGAACACAAAAAACAACAGTGAGCTCCGCCTTTTAAAAGACGGAGATCACTGTAGTTTCGGGTACAGAGCGACGCTGTGAAAAAATTAACAGGATTCTCTGTAGTTTTTTCTCGCAGTATGGTATGCAATAATTATTGCACTTATATTGCAAATAACTTTTTCATGGCGCTTCTAATGAAATAAAACTGTTATTGCTTTGTCAATTAGTTTATTATTACACTTAGAAAATCACTGCAGGGGTGCCAAAGTAGGTGTGAGAGGGTGACGTCACGAAGCTCGTTACTCGACGCAAGTCGTTCGCAGGAAGGTGGGCTGACCGAGGTGGACCTCAACGGCGGCCACGACGAGGGCTTCGGCTGGACGCAGACCACCACCAAGCAGGGCCGGCGGGTCAGCGCCAACACGGCCTTCTTGTACGAGCAGCGCAAAACCCGCAAAAACTTGCACATCTTGACCGAGGCGCGTGTGCGCAAGGTTCACATCAACGCCGCTACGAAGCGCGCCGAGTCGGTCGAGTACACTGACAAGAAGGGTGCCACGCACATCATCAAGGCGCGGCTGGAGGTACGTGTCCGTCCACTGTCAGAAATTGCCGAGAGAAAAATGGAAAAATCATGGAGTTTTTGCGAAACTTCTGCATGGAGCTCTCCATAAAGGCAAATTCTGGGCTTTCTCCGAAAAGTTTCGGAATTTTGAACAAAAAAAAAAGAGGTTTGCAACCAGTTGAAAAATGAGGGAAGGTGAACCCCTACTTGTTTATCTTAGTCTTCATAATATTAGGGGAATGCTGCAGGATATAATTCAGCTCTAAGGAGAATGTCCCTTCTTTGACCATTTCAGACTAAAGAATGCTTCGGCGAAGCCCTTTTTAACATATCTCAGAAAAGACATGCATTTTACCTCCCATCAGGACCCAAGTAATGTTCCGAAGAACATTTGTTCAAGCCCTGAGAAAATCTTTTCGAAAAAAAGATGGAAAACGAATGGAGTCTCCGAACGTAATTATAGAGTTTTTCTCCATAAAATTTCGGAGCTAATTTCTAACAGTGCAGTCATCGACAACAACCACTTCGGTAAAACTAAAGCGCTTTTTTCCGCCTCCCTCTAATCGTAGGGCTGAATTGGGTTAAAAAATTACAGGCTAAGAAAAGAACAACCATTATCGACCAGTTTGGAACAGTCTATTGGCACTGAGCCATCCGCCGACCAGTTATTTCAACTTAACACGAAAAACTGACTTAAATTTTAAATACTGACCACTTCCTAGAGATTCATGTGATGTGGCTTGCTCGCAGATCGTCCTCAGTGCAGGCACCTACTTCTCTCCACAACTGCTCATGGTATCTGGAATCGGACCGCAAGAGCAACTGAAAAAGGCGAAAATACCTGTCATCTCGCATCTTCCAGGAGTCGGACAGAATTTGCAGGTAACTTGATGGCACATGGGTTATGCGGCTGCTTTGCCATAGTCCTCTCAAGACCATTAATTGTTCCTTATTATGAGTATTTTTTTGGGGGGTGGGTGGGTGGGGGTATTTTTTACCCCCTTGCCTTGGTTCCTTCTCACATGTAAATGTTAAGCCTAAGAGCTGTCACAAGTGCCATAAGAACCTTATCGACTATTTTTTAGAAGAGAAATTTGGAATTTCGCATTTTCGTGCTTGAGAAAACGAGCAAGGGTTAGACCTGGACTGAGCATTTCAGGTTCCTCGCCGCACTGAAAACTTAAATTTCTGGAATTAACGAAATGTACCTTTGGCAAAAAAAGTTGCCGAAGGCACCTTCCCAAATTCATGAAGTTTTTGGTAGTGGTAGTTTACGAATATTTTTGGAAATGTACATAGATTTTTCCTTACTGTACGAACGTTCAATGTAAATTGATGACGGCTCTTCGTTCATTCGTGAAGATTCTTCGTTTCTTGTAACAATAACGTTCATGAATTAAGGAAGGAACCTTTGACAACAATTTCGCCAGAGGCCTACTCTACAGTGTGCAGCACACAAGATCTTAGACATACATACGGCAATTGGATTCTTTTAGGTAAGGTTCATGTCACGCCGTCGTGCTTCTCATGAATTCTGATTCGTTGCAGGATCACAACATGCCTGCCAGTCTGCCTGTCATTACGTTCACGCGAACTGCAATAGTGCCAACGGTATCACAGTTGCAGAAAGACGCCAAGGATTATGCAAGGGTAAGCTGATCCCGTGACGCCGTGGCGGACCGGGCAACGCCCGGCTTGGGCATGTCAAGTGCCGGTTTAGTACCAGGCTAGTGTCGGGCTAGGACCGGGCAACTTTCCCACTAACCCGGCGAGGGCCTTCCCTTGCATACGCAGGGCGCGGGCGGACGGCGGCCGGGCAGACGTGGCTGACTACCGTAGGCCGGGGTAATATGAGACAATTTCGGGGTAATATGAGACGCATGATTTTTATTGTTAGAATTATAATGCTCGTGGCATTTGATGACTCATCCCGGTCAAACTTCTCGGCGAAAAATGGTACCAACAAAGAGTAATTAATTTTTTACAGTAGTGGCTCTCTTTGTGGCCGAATAGCGAGCTCAGAGTGAATCTTACGCAAACCAAACTCCGTCTCATATTACCCTGAAATTGTCTCATATTACCCCGGCTTACGGTAGCCGAGCGCCAACCCCATCACGGGGTTGCTGGGCGACGAGCGAGTGTCTGCCCCGCAGTAGACTGATGAGTCCCAAGGGAGGCAGCTCTCTCATACCAGGGGGCGGCAACGGCCTAGGAGGCGCGTGAAGCCATGCGCGAGTAAGGTGCAGAGGTTACTTATTTTGCTTCGATTGTAAGATCTAGGCCGTTGATTGCAAAACGCTTTGCACAGATCAAAAGAGCACAAAATTTGGGGTGCATTAGGCCTAGTGGACTGCCCGATACTTCCAATTCAACAGAACACAAGGGCGAAATCATTTACATCAACATGGCGTATTCGAGTTTTTTCCTAAATTTTATGATTTTTGTGTTTTTCGGTGTTTTTACTGCACCTTAATACTAGGTAAGGGAGGAGTTTCGAGAAGGGCAATTAGCCTGATGCACCCCAAATTTTGTGCTCTTTCGATCTGTGCAAAGCGTTTTGCAATCAACGGCCTAGATCTTACAATCGAAGCAAAATAAGTAACCCCTGCACCTTACTCGCGCATGGCTTCACGCGCCTCCTAGGCCGTTGCCGCCCCCTGCTCATACTCAGGGGAAGTCCCGCATAGGTGCGGGAGAGATAGTGCGGGAGGCCGCACTACACGGAATCATGGGTCGAGAATCTTGCTTGCCATGGCGTTACCCTAATAACGTGAAAAAATGTCCCAAGTTCCTCCCGTCGACGGTACTTAGAAACTCCATGTGAGCAGCTTAAGTTGGCTTCAAGTAGACTAGATTTTACCCCAAACCATCAATGTCTTCACGGTAAAAACGATGCCTGGTTTTCCCAGGAAGCCTATGGAAAAACCAGGAACCGTTTTTACCGTGTTTATTCTTCTTCAAAGAAGCAAAGCTGCTCTGCTCTTCGAATACCCTCCCGTAAGAGACTGTGACTTGCCCGCAGGGTGTCGGTCCTCTAACCGTCAGGGGCTTGAACCCGATGGTAGTGCGCAAGCGAAGCCTTTCGCAGCCCAAGAGCGACAAGCGTCCGTACATCCAGGCCCAGGCTTTGGTTGAATGGTCGAACGGCAGCCTCATGCCTTTCTGCACCGAAAGGACGCCATCTCCCAACTTCACCGCTTGCTATTACAACCAAGTGAGTAGACTCCACAATTTTAAATGTCACTACAAAATGTGATGTGTGCTTGCGGCACTATGGAGTGTATTTACTGAGTGAGGGCACTCTCGTTGCACGGTGCATTCACCCAAGTACACACTAAATGTTTCGTCCAATTTTGTTCGAGATATCAGTTTTTTGTGCACACGAAATTTTCGTACAATTTTCGTACGAAAAACTGCACATTTTACGCCTTTTTTGTACCAAATTGTACAAAATTTTGTACAAATTTGTACGAAAAGTTCGTGTGCACAAAAAACTGTGATGTCTCGCACAAAATTTGTACTAAAATATTTAGGGTGTACATTTCGCTGAAAGTGTCTGTGACAGGCACCACCACACCCCAAACGGCATAGTGATTGTGTAAGAAAAATACATGTAGACTCCAGCGCAAGTGTTACTTAAAACATTCAAGTCAGAGTTAGCACGCTTTGGACCTTGTGGTGAATGTACGGTTGTAACTGACAGGTGTATTGCTTAGTATTGCTTGGTAGAGTTCTCTTAACGACTAGTTTCTTCATGTTTCGAACAAATGTCTCTGTATTTTGATAAGTTTGTCTCGTAATGTACTCAGAATTAGCTTAGTATAATGACACCTGTCACAGGTTTCATTTGCAGAGATGTAACCATCGAAATGTTTCAGGCAACCATAAACGTGGTGCTCCTCCATCCTACGGATTCTGGAACTGTGACGCTGAACACAACCGATGCATTCAGTCCTCCGTTCATCTACCAAAAGGTTTTCACCAGTAAACAGGTAAGCTTGTTCCTCCCCAAAATAAAGTTCAAGTGATCTTGCCACGGATCAAGCTTACTTCTCACGGTTCAGGTCAGACGACATTAAAACGAAATGAAGTACGACTAGGTTTACGTCAAGGTAAACTTGAAAGACGACGAAATTCCCTGACATTTCCCCTATTTCAACGACATATTTTTGCCTCTAATTTCTTGATTTTTACTCTTTGTTTGAACTTTGGCACCATCGATTCCATGGGGTGCGACGGTCTAGGGTGAAATAACTCACGCACTCTCACTGTAAGAATTTGTCACTAAAAAAACCGTGCGTGTATGGCATTTTTATCACTTGAAAATGGTGACAGTTTCATCACAAGTTTTGAACATCTTCATCAATGCTCCTTCCTGCACTAATTGCATAGGCGTGACAACATTGTCATCAGCAAGTTTGATGACATTTTTGAAAGGGAAATTAACCTGTCAATTTTCATCAAGTAAACGTCTTAAACGTTTTCTACTGAGCTGAATCTCCCATTGATATTACCTCAGCTCGAGCTCCAAGTACATGCTCATTCATCAGCAGGGATCCTTAACTTAACTTAAGGGGGCAGTCTCGTCCTTGTACCCTGTTCTAGGGGGGTTTTCCCCCCCTCTTTTGATGACGATGATTTTTTAAATATACCTCTTAGAGACAAAGGGTAAAAACCAAATGAAAGAACGGAATTTTTACAACATTTTAAAAAAAAAATATTTTGTTTTGTCTTCAGTTGTAAGGGAGTTATAGGTAATGCAACAAAAGCCGACAAAACATACAAAATTGCACTGCGCGACAATTTTCCCCGGAAGTTCTTAACTTTTTGGCAATCGGTTTGCGGCATCTTGAAGATGAAAAAATCCTCTTTACTTTAACCTACAATCGTCCATATAGCCCAAGGATTACACTTTTTAAAACGTAACCAAAAACCTATACAAACTTAGGAACGGTTTTAATTTAGGTTTCCCTTGGGCTACATGGACGATTGTAGGTTAAAGTAAAGAGGATTTTTTCATCTTCAAGATGCCGCAAACCGATTGCCAAAAAGTTAAGAACTTCCGGAGAAAATTGTCGCGCAGTGAAATTTTGTTTGTTTTGTCGGCTTTTGTTGCATTCCCTATAACTCCCTTACTACTGAAGACAAAACAAAATATTTTTTTTTGAAAATGTTGTAAAAATTCCGTTCTTTCATTTGGTTTTTACCGTTAGTCTCTAAGAGGTATATTTAAAAAAATCATCGTCATCAAAAGAGGGGGGAAAAACCCCTAAAAAAGGGTACAGGGACGAGACTGCCCCCTTAACATTTAACTAACACTGCTTTCATAACGTAACATAAGACAATGTTCACTACAGGTTAAGGGTACGGACTTTTGAAAGTACTTCCAAAAGTATATCCACAAAAATTCGAGACACAAAAAAATAACTTACCCTTTCGAAAAGATGTTACAAGTTAAGGGTAATAACTTTAACTCTTATGATAACGCTATGAGGTAAGTTAAGGATCCCTGTTCATCAGTCCATTCCTTTGTGCTTTCACCAGGACGTGGTTGCCATGGCGGCCGGCCTCAAGGAGGTGACGGACATGCTCTTGTCGTCCAAGGCGCTCCGCTCCGCGGGGGTCAAGGTGACTCTGCCGGCCAAGGGCGCGGCGTGCGGCGCCAACAAAGTGGGCAGCGCGGCGTGGTACGAGTGCATCGTGCGCACCAACGGTGGCGTGACCTGGGGACACGGCGTCGGCACCTGCAGCATCGGCTCTGTGGTGAGTCTGCGACCAGGGGGCGGCAACGGCCTAGGAGGCGCGTGAAGCCATGCGCGAGTAAGGTGCAGGGGTTACTTATTTTGCTTCGATTGTAAGATCTAGACCGTTGATTGCAAAACGATTTGCACAGATCGAAAGAGCACAAAATTTGGGGTGCATTAGGCCTAGTAGACTGCCCGATATTTCCAATTCAACCGAACACAAGGGCGAAATCATTTACATCAACATGGCGCATTCGAGTTTTTTCCCAAATTTTATGATTTTTGTGTTTTTCGGTGTTTTTACTGCACCTTAATATTAGGTAAGGGAGGAGTTTCGAGAAGGGCAATTAGCCTAATGCACCCTAAATTTCAAGCCCTTTCTATCGGTGCAAAGTGTTTTGAAAAACACAGTCTAGTTTTCATAATCTCGAACAAGTGCGCAACCTCTGCACTGACGGCGCGAGCATCGCTTCACGCTCTCCCTAGGCCGTTGCCACCCCCTGCTGCGACAGAGCAAGCGCGGGAAGGGGGGAGGGAGGGGGCATCCATCGCGTCAAGAAAAGTGGGTTGCATGTGCACGCTTGAACCCATACAAAGTATTTTCAGCATAGAAAGTACAAACTAATTTACTTTGTTATACGAAGAAACATGCCGGGATTAGGGGGGGGGGGGCTAGAGAGCCGCCTGAAAGGTAGGCAAAAAGTGCCCCTGTAAGCAGGCAAAAAATGCTACTTTGCCCCCCTACCGTTATGCTCGGGTTTTTGGGTGTGTTGTACGTGTATTGTTGTGTGTCGATTCTCTAGTTCTCTCTTGGGTTTGTCAAGGGTAAAGGCACCCTGTGTGGTCTCAGGAGTAAAGGGTTGATTAAATACTTTTGGTTGTTAATATATTTATTATGATCTAGTTGGTCAGAATTTAGGTACTCGCGTCAGACAGGATCTCCAGGCTTGCTCACCCAGGCACAGGTTACAAGTAACAGTTCATGAGACACGACTATCCTAAGTCCACTGAGACTCGGGGCAGAACTATTCTAAGTCCGTTAACAGCAGGACGAAACTATTCTAAGTCCTGTATGCTAATTACCAGAGAGTAGTCCGGCTGCGAGCAGTTGGGCCGAAAGGGAAGAGGTGGTGCACCGGTCAAGCGATGAAACTCTTCTGACCGGCTCGTCGCGCTGTCCGAGGCGACGAAGCCTCGGCGCGACTAATTAATTCTCCCCTCTATTCGGCCAAGCTGACTCGCACCAATCACAATACAACTCGTCATCGGTACCCAATGGGGATCACTCACAACTACGCATTTCGGGTGACCAACAGTGGGGGTACCTTTGACCCATTTAACTTTATCCTAACGCTACCCCCATAGGCCGCCTGTGGATCCGCCACTGTTTACGAAGTATTTTCTTTGTCAGCTAAACTATTCTAAAAATACTTTTTTATAACAGGCTGCGTTTCTTCGTAATGTTTTCAGCGTGTTGTCCTGCCTAGTAGTCAAAAGGTGACACTGGTCGGGTTGCTCAGAGACCATCTTGACCTGATTGGTTTCGAGTGACAGTTAATTACTTAGATCTGACGAGTCAGCACTGTACATCCAACGGCAGTATTTTTAGTACCTTTTTTGGCGATACAATTGAGTATCGCCCATAAACGGCCTTACGGAAAAGTATTGCCTTCAAAACGGCGATACACAAAAGTATTGCCAAAATTTGGCGAAACTTTGGAGTATTGCCACGATTTGGCAATAAACGTCGAACAAATCAAGGGGACAAGACCTTCGTTTAATGCCGTGGTTTTGGCAATACCCAAAAGTATAGGGCCAAATTTTGGCGATACTTCTGTGTATCGCCGTTTTGAAGGCAATACTTTTCCTCAAGGCCGTTTATTGGCGATACTCAATTGTATCGCCAAAAAATGTACTTTAGTATCGCCTTTGCAATTGCAGTGAGGGTGGTCTGCTAGCGCCTTAGCGAGAGGTCGGCTCACTCTTCAGTGGCTATTGGCTAAGTCTTGAGTGGTCTTGCAATGCGTGTTTTTTTTTTTTAGGTTGATACGCGGCTGCGCGTGCTGGGAGGTGTGAAGGGCCTTCGCGTCGCCGATGCATCGGTCATGCCTTGCGTGCCCAGCGGCAACACCAACGCACCCACCATCATGGTCGGCGAGAGGGCGGCAGACTTTATTAAGAAGGATCATGGTGTGGCGTGAAGATCTATATTACCAGGAAACCGGCGGGATATTAACTGCAGCCTGCAATGCTCTACATTTAAAGCACAAAGAGTATTCGATGCAAGTCGAACATTAAATGGCCTACGCTAATGCATTCCGCTTTCTGGCCCTGTTCCTCAAAACACGTTCAGCGCCATGGCCCCTTGGCCTGAATGCACTCGCCCTGAGGAGGCGATTTCAGAACGAACGAGAATGGCGACGAAACCGTCAGATTGGGCAGCCAACCAGCGAACCAAAAAGAACTAATTAAAGTAAATCTGGCCTTTGCCCTCTGCTATTATTGAGGGAGCTGATGACGAAAATGCCATCTATTTTGACCTCAGACTGTGGTTCGAATCCCGTTAGAGTTCAACATTGGCGAAATTCGTACATTTCAAAGTCTCGCCATTCTGTGGCGAGAAACAAAAGTCTCACCAATTTTTTGGTGAGAAACAAAAGTCTCACCATTTTTTGGCGAGAAACGAATGACTTATCAAAATCTGGCAATAATTGCAACCCCACTCTACTGGATACCGGGAAATATATCTCAGTCAATTATTGCCATATTTTGGCGAGACATTTGTTCCTCGCCAAAAAATGGTGAGACTTTTGTTTCTCGCCACAAAAATGATGAGACTTTTGTTTTTGTTTCTCGCCACAGAATGTCGAGACTTGTTTGTGTCACCAAATTTTGGCCATCAGTCTCGCCATTTAATTTTCAGTGGATGTCTATCGCTACTTTCCTTTTTTTAAAAGTGTGTTTGTAATTTTGGCCGCAGTTATACTTAGCACACTGTACAGTTGTGATGAACTCAACGGCAATTAAGGGCGTAGGAGCGGGTGGCTACTCTGAGAATGGTAGCATCCGAGAGCGTTTTCGGGTGCATCTGCAGTCGTCTGAGGCCGGGCCCCCGATGCCCCGTAGACCTGGTTCGCAGACAATGCACCCTCGGCCGGCTGTTTATGGCCGGTCTGCCGGAGTGCGGGTGAATGACACCCCTGGCACGGGGCTCGGCCTGGACCGCACGGAGCAGATCGCAAGCTTTTCGCGAGCTCGGGGCCAGTCTTCAAGTTTCAGGTCAAAATCAAAAGTTTTGACCAAATTTGACAAAATACTTTTTGCGAAGTACTGATTATTTCTATGTAGCTAAAAAAGTTGTTCTCATTGCTCTGTTAAAAGTGGCCGCAGAAACTTAATTTTTAGATGGAAAGATCGAAAATTTCATCCCGAGTACAATGGTGAACATCCCATGAGTGTCAAACGACGCGTTAGAAAAATTTTAGCTTTCAGGTAGCGAAGGGACCGCCTCCCTTTTGTGTGGAGAGGCCTGCTTCACAATGGGCTGCGCCGAGGCGACGATGATGACAGGCTGATTTATTACCCCAAGACCCAAAATAGGAATTTTCAAACGAGCCTTTTCGCGTGTTTGGAACATGCGGTAATGGATTCTTCGTTGAAAGCTGGGTTAAATGGTGTTTGAATTTTTGTTCTACGATAATTTCTACCAAAATCGCGACGAAAATCGGCCAAAACTGGTCGGGGCCCGGTGCCGCCTGCCTTGCAGACGGATCCTCGACGGCTCCCCTATTGTCCGCCCGGCGCGTCACCCCGAACCCCGACTACCTGGCCCGAGCTCCGCTGTGCGACAGAAACAACACATCGGCCGAAGCAGCCTGTCTCTCTCTACTGGTGCAGGACCTTCAAATCTGAGTGATTTTCTGGACCACACGACGCGAGTACCACACCTTACCGATGTGAAGTTAGCGTGACCCAAACTTGCCAGCCCGAAAAAAAATTCACCAATCGTTAGTTTTTCTAGAGGAATGGAAAAAACTTGCCCGTGCTGACAAAGGCATGGGGGATGTGATGGTCCATTTTTTCGCCATCTCATTAGATTCCGCTCGGTAGCTTCCTGAAAATCACTCATTTTCAAGGCGTTCCAGTTACGTTACTAGAAGTTTGAGCGCAAATTGGAATAGACCATCCCCTGCATACAGTCCCTGCCAACAAGTGTGCAAAGTTTCAAGACGCTGCGACCTTTGATTTCCCCGTCGTGTGGTCTGGAAAATGTCAAAAACAGCCAAAATTTCGAACTTTGGGGCGTCGCGACGCCGAAACTATGCGTCGCCGGGCAAAACGGTTTGACATAGTGCCTTACCACATCGATCACTATCAATTAATGAAAAAAAAATTTTGCGCTCCTACGCCCTTAATAGAACGAGCCTGTGTTACATAGTTGGTATTATCCCATTGATGTTCCTTCCCTCTTATTTCTGGTTCAATGTATTAAATGCCTGCATGTATTGACCGGCTGAGCCGTTCCGGAGAAGGTCAGCCATTAACAAAGCCTTTTTTTAAAATACCGTGGGACGGTTTTATTTGACATATGACAATTTTTTTTTACGCTGGAAAGTGTTGAGCAAAAGCGCGCATGTATTAAAGTGGAGCAGAGGAAAGGTGAGTGAAGGGAAACATCCACATTAATAGGCCGTGCCGGGGCAGGTCAGCTCCCACGGACGTTGGATGAAGTACACGTGGCTGGTGAACAAAGTGTACTTCTCGGCCCAATCCACCAGGCAGTTGGGGCCTCTCGGTGCAAGTTTCTGTAAGCAGGGCGGAAAGGTGTTAAACGAGCTGGTTACACAAAACAATGAAATTTACTTCGAGTTCTTCCCAGGTGACCAGTGAATTTTTAATCTTTTTGATCTCCTTTAAGAAACTAAGTACAACTACAGCGTGGGTATCAATTTCCGACCGGGTCCACGCAAAAAAGAAAACGGATGTATTTTACATTAAGATGTAGACAGGATATTTGTCAAAATTTCTGCTGGACATAATCTCTTGTAGTCCCTCACAACTTGTGTGTTAGGTGCCCATCCCTAGTCACATGAATGAAATGAAAACTCTAATTGGGATAAGTGAGATATTCCCTTTTTTTACGCTTTCTACATCTAATAATGATACGAAACTGCAAAATTGTAGCTGTTTTCGAAAGATTGTCAGTGAGGTAGAGTGTGTTGAATTGACATGGAATAACCAGTTCCTTTTGGCCCTCTCACCTTCAGCTGATAGATGGACATCAAGTCGAACCAATCCTGCTTCGCGGAGGGGACTTCACCGAACGACGAGAAAACAAAGCCAACAAGCTTCTTGGTGACTGAACTGTACAGAACGAAGTACGGTCGGAACTCTTCACATGGCGTGTCCGGCGTCCGGTTTTGATTGTAGTGAATTCCTGGAAGTTGGAACCAGACAATGTAGGACCTCTGTTCTCTGTGTGAGGCACTGCACCCTGAACAAAGGGCCTTTCGAAACGTTGCAGATTATTTCAAGTTAACACTTGGCAACGTATGTTTTTTTAACCAATTAATTGGTAAAAAAAACATACGTTGCCAATGTGCTTATTGTTGAAAATTACTGTGCAAATGGAAGAGTGTAAGTGCCAACCTCAAAGACTCTAAACTGTTGTGTACTTTAACGGCACGCTGTAAAAGAGAGTTGATATGTAAGGTAAGTTGGGGAAGAAAAGTAGAGGGTAAGAAAAGTACAACCTTATGGAGCTGATACCTTGACTTTAAGCACACTCTCTATCAGTTAATTCAACTAAAAATGTAAATCTGAATGTGAATTTCCTGTCAAATGGATGCCGAGCCGAGATGTCTGCAGTAGGCCACAGGGGGGTTCACTCTTCTTACCTTGTACTGCACTGTTCTTACCCAACTTACCCCTACAGGTATTTTACACTCACAGCAAAAACTCTACGAAGAATCGCTTCGTAATGTGAGGAAAATTAAGGCATTGTAAAATCTGCGACGAAATGCTTTGTATCATGAAGTAAAACCCTTCGTAATACGAGGCATTTCTTCATAATACGAAGCAATTCTACAATACCTTCATTTTCTTTGTAGTAGTTATGAAGCAAATGCTTCGTAGGCTTTTAAGAGTGGCTCAATGCGCTTGTGTTTTTGTATGGGGCAGGGTGCACTGTAAGGTCGGGTTTAGTGGCCTGACTAAGTCGAGTTAGGGTCCCGTCCTGACTAAGGTGTTGGTGGCCTGACTAAGGCTCAGGGGTTGGCCAGGCCGGATTATAGCCGGCCGTTGATGAGGGTTTGACAGGTCCCGGTGGCTCGCTCGGGCGTCGCAAAAGAATTAGTAGAATCGGACTCGAACCTTGGCTTACAGTTTGAAGGCAGTGGACGGTACCACTACGCCACGAGGCTCGCTGAGGAAGGAGCGATCCTGGAGCAGTCTGTAGCCGGGCACTGCCGGCCTACACCCGGCCGGTCGGGGTTCCCCCACCACCCCCACCCAGGCATGCCGCCACGCTCCGCCACGCAACCGTGGAGGTGCAGGTAGCCGAGGCCAGGCCCTCTGGCCTGACTAAGAACGTCGCCTTAGTCAGACCAGCCGGGACCCTTTTCCTTAGTCAGGCCACTAACTCCGACCTAACAGTGTGGTCACAAGTTAGAGTGTACTTTCCGCGTGTACACCTTCATGCCAGTCTTAACCGGTAATAAGCGTCAACTTTCGGGCTGGCAACGATTTTTCCCAGAGTAGTGGGGTGCTCCGCGTACCCTGGCCTTCACCGCAGCCCTGGAGGGCGAAGTGAGGAGCCACAGCTTTCTCCTGGTCGATGGGCATCAGCAGGCGGTTGATCTCCCGACCCTCGGAGTCCGTTTGCAAGATGAACGCTCCCTCGGGTACCGTCGAGTCGCCAGGTGACAACTTGCGGCCGCCTCTCCGGATCACGTCTGCGGAAATGGCCTTCGGAAATTAATGAATATTATACAGAGCCTTAAAAAACTCTTTCATGTTCTTTATTGATTAAAAACAAGAATTTATTTCGGCCTTGGAGTAAGGCTTCCTGAGGAGGTAAATGATTCATTATTCCAAAACCCCCTCCTCACCGCACTTCTTCTGACCCGTTTTCTGTCACTACTCTAGAAACTGAAGAGAGTGCATGGCACGCTCCGTAGAAGTAGAAGGTCTGAGAGTGTGCCACAAAGCACGCTCCATCCTCGAGTGTGCTTGCAAGCACACTCAACCCTGGAGCCTACGGAGAAGCATGCTTCCAAGCACACTCCAGGATGAGGGCGTGCCTCTTCGTTGATATGAGGCCTTGCAATAGTGACGCAGCACTCGCAGCACGCTTTATCCTGAAGTGTGCTTTGAGGCATGCTCCTCCGTAGAGCGTGCTTGCCAAGTATGATTGATGTGCTTGCAAGCACACTCCAGGATGGAGCGTGCTTTGTTGCATACTCCCTGAGGTAAAATGCCATGCACTCTCTTCAGTTTCTAGAGTACGTGTGATATGTGTACGCACCTTTGCTGACAAAGTAGACGGTCAGCGTGTACGTTTGCATGGTGAAATTCCTGCTCGCCTCCCACTCAGGTACAGTGTTGAGGTTTATCGGTACACTAGCTGTAGCCGCCTCTTTGGGTGTCAACTGCAAAGAGATATGTGGTCGATGTAGCTCACCAAAATTTGGCAGGCTGCTTCACTCTAAATGTCGTACGTTCGCCGCCTGCACCAAACGGTGGAGATTTTCTGAAGATACACTCTTATTCCAGGACCGCGACATCACGTTGAAACGAACGTGACAAAATGTCACGTTCGTTTGAGCATTGTGTCACATTCGTTTGGGTGTGAATTTGCCAAAAATCAGCTCATTCACATTCGTATGAACGTGACACTATGCGTAAACGAACGTGACATTTTGTCACGTTCGTTTCCACGTGATGTCACATTCCTGGAATGAGAGTGCATGTAAGGTATGGTGAATGTGCGGTAGAGAGCTATAAAATCAGCTGCAGCTTCAGAGAATACTCGGCCACCATAATACGGAGAATCATAAGTAAACGACTATTAGAGTGTATTTAAAGAAGCGTAAGCATGCCTGCAGTTTCAATACGGGTCTTGAGGCTATCGAGGTGCTTTGCATAGGGCTAGGTTGGGAAAGAAAAGTGCAGGGTAAGAAAAGTACACCCCCCTTGTAGCCTACTGCTCCAGTCCGTAACATCCATTTAACAGTGTTTTCACACTCAGATTTTTATGTTAAGTTGAAATTACTGGTCGAGGGATGGCTTAAAGTCAAGATATCAGCTCCACAAGGGTTGTACTTTTCTTACCCTGTACTTTTCTTCCCCAACCTACCCCTAGTAATATGGATTTTGCGTTCCCAATGCAAACTATGGAGTAACTCCACCCCAAGGTGGACCGAGATCTGGGATTGGGTCACGGATTCGGTTCAAACTTTGTGGGTTCAATAGGTACCACTAGGACCTATCAACCCTAAAAGGAAAGTTGGCTAGCTCAAATAGAACCTGAGATATTTGCATTTTTCTAAATTTGACTAATTTAGCGGAAAAATGTCGCTTTCTGATTTTTTTATGGTAAAAGTTGTTTGCTTAGTTCTGGCTTATGTTTCTTCTTTCTAGTCATAAAAAAAAGAAGAAAAATGGTGGTAGGCCAGGTTTTGTACGTTGCTTGGTTTGGCCTACTCGAGCAATTTTGACAAATTCATCGAAACTATCATACCCAAAATACTCCACCTTGGATTTGACCCTGGTAAGTCTCATTTCACTTCTTTTACTCTAATAAACAATTGCTATATAGTCCCTAGCACCAACAATTCCATTTAAGCCAAAAAAATTAAAAACACAATTTTTCAATTTTCTACTTTGACCTATTATGGGCGCTTTTGTCAAGATTAGGGCTTCTACATGATCTTGGGTTAAAAGAAAGATCCTCCCTGCCCTCAAATTAGCAGGGATCCTTAACTTAACTTAACATTTAACTAACACTGCTTTCATAACGTAACATAAGACAATGTTCACTACAGGTTAAGGGTACGGACTTTTGAAAGTACTTCCAAAAGTGTATCCACAAAAATTCGAGACACAAAAAAATAACTTACCCTTTCGAAAAGATGTTACAAGTTAAGAGTAATAACTTTAACTCTTATGATAACGCTATGATGCCCTTATGAGGTAAGTTAAGGATCCCTGCAAATTAGATTGTATCAACACAGACAAAGAGACCCAAACTCAAGGTGCACTAAAAATTTATAAGGAAATTGTTTTGAGCAAATTTTGCAAGTTTACGAGGGGTGTGAGGAATTTAAATCGGAGGAAAATGTGATGCTTCAGCCAAAAGTGGATTTGTGGTTCATTAGTTAGCTTTCTCTGGTAGGATTTGTGCTCTTTTAACCATGAGAATGTTCCTCCTTGATAATCAGTGATAAAACCCTCACTCGGTATAGGGTTGTTGGGCTTACGATTTCAACGCATTAACAAAGTAATGACCCATTTATTTAGGTTGTTTGCAACGTATAAGTTCAACCGCTTAGTCTCTATTACTCAGCCTGGTTCCATTTGGTTTGTTAATTTTTGAGACCAACAGGATGACTTAAGACCAAGGGGTTCAGCTTACACGTTGCGAACAACCAAAGTAAATGGGTCATTACTTTGTTAATGCGTTGAAATCGTAAGTCCAACAGCCCCATACCGAATGAGGGTTTTATCACTGATTATCAAGGAGGAACATTCTCATGGTTAAAAGAGCACCAATCCTATTAGAGAAAGGTAACTAATGAACCACAAATCCACTTTTAGCTGAAGCATCACATTTTCCTCCGATTTAAATTCCTCACACCCCTCGTAAGCTTGTAAAATTTGCTCAAAACAATTTCCTTATAAAATTTTAGTGCACTTTGAGTTTGGGTTTCTTTGTTTGTGTTGATACCATCTAAATTGAGGGCAGGGAGGATCTTTCCTATCACCCAAGCTCATGTAGAAGCCCCAACCTTGACAAAAGCGACAAAATTAGGTCAAAGTAGAAAATTGAAAAATGTGTTTTTGATTTTCTGGCTTAAATGGAATTGTTGGTGCTAGGGACTATATGGCAATTGTTAATTAGAGTAAAAGAAGTGAAATGAGACTTACCAGGGTCAAATCCAAGGTGGAGTATTTTGGGTACGAGAGTTTCGATGAATTCGACAAAATTGCTCAAGTAGGCCAAACCAAGCAACGTACAAAACTTGGCCTACCACCATTTTTCTTCTTTTTTTATGACTAGAAAGAAGAAACATAAGCCAGAACTAAGCAAACAACTTTTACCATAAAAAAATCAGAAAGCGACATTTTTCCGCTAAATTAGTCAAATTTAGAAAAATGCAAATATCTCAGGTTCTATTTGAGCTAGCCAACTTTCCTTTTAGGGCTGATAGGTCCTAGTGGTACCTATTGAACCCACAAAGTTTGAACCGAATCCGTGACCCAATCCCAGATTTCGGTCCACCTTGGGGTGGAGTTACTCTATGGCGCAAAAGTTGTTAGAAGACCGAAAAATAAAAGCCTTGTTTAAGTCATTTTCGGACGTCAAGTGGGAAAATTGAACGTCGAAGTTCTTCCCAAAATTGAAGAGATTGATAAAAAGTCGGAAAGGGTGTGGGTTTGAACCTTGGCACTAACTGTGGGGTGCATTTTTCGTCTAATACGCTATTCTGGCGATAATGTTTGGTTGAAATCTTAGTTTACCTCCTAAATATATTCCCTAGTCAGTGCCTTCACTTCTTGCACTGCTTTGACTTCCGCACTTACCGTCATCTGAATGCCCGCAATACTGCCCTTCTTGTCGTAGATGAGACACATGTGGTAGTCGCTGTGCGGACACCAGACGGACGTAAGGCCCTGGTCCCGGTAGTACATCCGCTTGAAATGCTTCTTGACGGCAGCCGCCAGAGTGCGGGGCATGTCTATGAAGTTGCATTTCTGTTTCTTGTCCGCACTGGTGCTGAATTTGACTGCGAAGGGGAACCACTTTTATGACAGTATTTGATCTATGTTTGACTACATATCATCGTCCGTGATGCCTGACAACCTATAGGACGCGGGTGTGATACGGGTAAAACCAAAATTGTCTTCTTTTCTTGGCTTCACCAGATTCTTTTCAGTTCTGCGCAGATAGATTTCTTTTTTTTTTAATTGCTAAATTGCTCCCAGTTGCGGTGGTGCGTGCGCTAGGACAGAGTGAACTCGGTCGGACGCGCAGTTAATTGAAACAAGTTCCTGTACTGCCATTCAAATTTCAACATCCACTGTCTGCACTGTTAAGTCCTAGTTCTACCTATAAAACAACACGCAGCTTTCGGAATTTGTTGAAATTAGATTGAGAAATTTATTTACAGAATATTTTCCTTTCGGGCGTTTTGTTTAATATTTCGAAAATTAGCTTACCGCTCAGCTTGTTTCTCGTGGTGCCTTCCAGTCCTGAAACACAAGGAAAGTAATCGCTGTACATCGCTTTGAATAAGAATGTTGGGATTCACTATATCGAAACAATATCGGTGCTGTTAATCCTTAGCTCAGAATTTCTAGAGCCATGTGCGAAAAGGCGGGGTAAATCCTGTTTAGTTATTTTGCTAGTTGTTTCTTTCTGCATCTCTTCACTCATTCATGACCTAATTTTACAGACTGTGCCCTCGGCAATGCTCCCCGCAACAACTACTAAGATGGACAATATTTGCAGGCTGAAAATAATTAGTAATTTTAATATGCTCCCAGTTGTCGACGGTCTTCTGGAAGGGAAATCCCTTTTATTACACGTTTATTACATTTTGTCTTATCTCCAATAGCTTGAGCAATAGAAACCAATGAATGTAAAAATTTATTTAGAGATTTGCCAACTCAAACTGCCTGTCGACGGCTGAACAAAATGCTGCACGGGCTCGGTCGACACACCATTCGATAAAGCACTTTTCTGATCTCATTCCAGTTACTTCGGTCCTTTCATGGCCAATATGTTCGCCGATACCATATTTTCCCCAAACCCTCTATCGTACTCTTTTAGGGCGGTTTGAACATCCAAAATTGAGTTCGTGGTCAGATCTCGCTCCCAGATTTTTTTCAGCAGTTCGTATTGATGTGAGGAACTCCCAAACAGAGTTTGATTCAGTTCTGAGCAGGTCTCCGGCGAAATGGTTATTTTGGTCTGGAGCTTCTTTAACATTTTGAGGAAGCACACTCTAAATGTCTTACAATGAAATTTGACCTATGTTATTCGTATGTTACAGTGAATTCGGCGCAAGCATAATACGAAGCAATATTCCTTCGTAATACAAATGTTTTTACCTTTTTCATTGTAAGATACAAAGAAAAACCTTCGTAATACGAAGAAAAACCACCTTCGTATTATGCTTGCGCCATTTCCTTCGTATTATGGGAAATTTCTTCGTAAGACATTTAGAGTGCATTACCGACAGCGACATGGAGGATGACTGCGAGCAGAGCGACGACGACCGCGAACCTCGCCATCGTGCCTATCGATGGATGCCACCCTGCCGGTCGGCCTTTTAAGTGCCGTCCCACAATCAGAAAGTGCCAACACGTACACTCTCCGGAGTGGAGTGCGCGTGACACTGACCCGTGCCATAAAATGGCCAAAGGTTGCACGAAAGTTTACGGTCACGCTTCGAATGGGATTCCCAAAATCTAACGTGATGGCTGTACTCTTAACGACTTCTGAAGAAATTTACCATAATACGAAGAGAGTGAAGCAACGCCCAAATTTCATTGTAAGTCATTTAGAGTGTGCACGAACCACAATCCTGATGGGGCACATTGAGTATTCCGACGCCCGGACCGGAACCCAAGCAGAAAACATGTTATACATACCGGATCCACAAATTTACACAGCTTGGGTTCCAGTCCGGTTGCATCGGCGGACCAAATCAGACGATTCAGAAGCAAAAACTTTTTTTTTGACAAGCCCACGTACACATATTTCATAGGCCTGAGGTGACTAGTGAAAAAAACATCGTGTGCTTGCAATCGCAGGTGTCGTGCGCCCAAGCAAATAAAAAATGTAAAATAACACGAAAAGTGGGGATACACATCGGCAACTTCAGCTCGTCGCGTCGGGTGCATGCGTCCCAAAAATGCCCTGCGAATGTAAAAGCTGTGCACCAATTGGCGCAATGGAAACGTCTGCATTCCACTAGTTGACGCTGCATACTGTTAGCAATACGGTTGTAATGTAGCAGTAAATATGTTCCTAATTTGCTAAATGCCAAAGTTGATTACAGATTACTTCACTTGTTTACTGATGACTTACGTTGTTAGTCAAAAAGATGTTTGTAATCCACTCTGCAAATCGAAGAGCGTACATTGTATGCTCTAACTGGAGCATGCTTGCAAGCACGCTCTATCTAGCGCATGCCTGCCAAGCATGCACTTACTAAAGCATGCATGCCATGTACACGCTTCCTGATGCAGGCAACTCCCTATCCCTTATGCACTAGGTGCATGCTTCAGTTAGCGCGTGCATGGCATGCATGCTTGGCAGGCATGCGCTAGCTAGAGCGTGCTTGCAGGCATGCTCCAGTTAGAGCATACAATGTACGCTCTTCGATTTGTAGAGCAGTAGAGAGCATCAATTTTGATTGCCTATTAGGTCACAGACGTAGTAGAGTCCCAGTGACCCGCACTTGTCACTAGGTAGATTGTTCGGGGTGTTTGTACACAGCTCAAGGCCGTTTTAAAACAGCCTTGGTCAGATAAAGAAATAGCAATAAGTTTGTTGTTTTCAAACAAGAACACTTGTTTATAGACAACGGCGTTGTCAAGGTTGGTTATTGTGTTGTTGTCACATGACCTCACTGGAAGTAAACGAATGTGACGTCATATTCGTTCGAATGTGAATTGTGTCACGTTCGTTTCAATGTGATGTCAAATACGTTTGAATGTTGATCCACGTTCAAACGAAAGCGACACCCTACTTTAACGGCCGAGTCACGTTCAAACGAATGTGACATCATATTCAGACGAACGTGAAAAAATTTACACTCCAACGAATATGACGTCACATTCGTTCAGTGGCGTGCGCAGGGGGGGGGGGCACTGGACAGCCGCCCGGAAGGTAGGCAAATTGTCTCACTTTCCCCCTGTACACCCTCATTCCAGGAACGTGACATCACGTTGAAACGAACGTGACAAAATGTCACGTTCGTTTGAGCGTTGTGTCACATTCGTTTGGATGTGAATTGGCCAAAAATCAGCTTGTTCACATTCAAACTAACGTGACACAATGCTCAAACGAACAACGAACGTGACACTTTGTCACGTTCGTTTCAACGTGATGTCACGTTCCCGGAATGAGCGTGTAAGTAGGCAAAAAGCATGCCTGACCCCTCCCTTTCAAAATTTCTGCGCACGCCACTGCATTTGTTGGCTACCAGTGCTTTTTCAACGGTATACTCCACTGAGATTCCAAACGCTATGAGTATAGCACGTATGGTGCAATGCAGCTGAGACGTCACACCATATGTGCAATGCCTAGCCATTGCACCTTACGCCAAAAATTGGCGTGACACGATATTCACGCCGATAGACGGCGTGAAATATGCGTCACGCCGTCATTTGCCGTGAATGACAACGCGTTTTAAGAGACAAGTCATGCCAAAAAACGGCATAACAATAACGCCAAAAATTGGCGTGAATTTTTGAGTCACGCCGATTTTTGGCGTGACTTTTCTGTCATGCCGTTTATTGGCGTGACACTTTATTCACGCCCCTGCAGCGGCACGAAGTCACGCGGATAGATTTTCAGTGAATTGACGCTAACTCATAGCGTTTAGATTCTCAGTGTCATCCCGTTTGGATTCTCAGTCAGGTTGAAACAAAAAAAGGGGATGCCGGCAAAAGGTTCCATGTGGAGGTCTAAAATGCACTTTGATGCAGTGAGGAAGGATCAACACTTTGAAGGACAAACTCGATTGTCGGTACTCTCCGCACGAGAGTACAAGCACGCTGATACGTAAACGTATCATCTGCTAAAGTGAACGTAACGTTTATTTGAGTTTCGGACTGTCAGACAGCACTCTCATTCGAACTCTCCATCGGAGAAAGGCGATTGCACCGTGTTTGGCCCCGGCGGGGACTTGGTAGAGTCTCTGGAAGAGCACCGTCTCCGCGAGGCACGTCAGGCACGCCGTGAGCAGCCCGGCGGCCATGGCCATGACGGCGGGCCGCATGGCGCGCATGTCGAGGGCCGCAGGGCCGCGGACGCGAACGCAGAGCTCGTCCGGGCACTGCGAGCTGGGGCCCCCGAAGGTCTCGTAGCGCCGCTTCATCCAAAGAGCCACGATTCCTGCGAGAGCAGACGACACTCTACAAATCGAAGAGCGTAACATTGTATGCTCTACCTGGAGCATGCCTGCAAGCACGCTCTATCTAGCGCATGCCTCCCAAGCATGCACTTACTACACTGTTAGAAATTAGCTCCGAAATTTTATGGAGAAAAACCCTATAATCACGTTCATGGAGACTCCATTCATTTTCCATTTTTTTTCGGAGAGATTTTCGCAGGGCTTATACAGATGTTCTTCGGAGCATTCCTTGGGTCCAGATAGGAGGTAAAATGCAAGTCTTTTCTCAGATATATAAAAGAGGACTTCGCTAAAGCATTTTTTGGTCTGAAATGGTCAAAGAAGGGACAATCTCATTCGAGCTCATTTGACTTATATCCTGTAGCTTTCTCTTAGTATTATGAAAACTGAGCTCAAGAAGTAGGGGTTCACCTTTCCCTCAAATTTTAACCTTTTTTTCGTGTTTTTGTGATAGTGAAGCATGCATTTTTGTTCAAAATTCCGAAATCTTTCGGAGAAAGCCCAGAATTTGCATTTATGGAGAGCTCCATGCAGAAGTTTCGGAAAAACTCCATGATTTTTTTCATTTTTTTTTCGGAATTTTCTGACAGTGTAGTGCAAGCATGCCATGTACACGCTTCCTGATGCAGGCAACTCCCTATCCCTTATGCACCAGGTGCATGCTTCAGTTAGCGTGTACATGGCATGTATGCTCTAGTAAGTAAGTGCATGCTTGGCAGGCATGCGCTAGCTAGAGCGTGCTTGCAGGCATGCTCCAGTTAGAGCATACAATGTACGCTCTTCGATTTGTAGAGCAGTGATGTGACTGCATTTCAGGGCGTGATCCCTGAACATTTATCGAGTTTTTGGGTGCCTGCATCTCGTAAATGGTCAGAGATTAAAAAAAAGTTATGCATAGGATAACTTTAATATAATATAACATTTAGAATTTAAGTTATCTCAAGCATAATTTTTTAAAAACTCAAGCCGTTTACGACATAAAACTTTATAAATCGCTAAAAATGTAATGTTACCACGCCCTGCTGTATTTTTCTCGTAATTGCATGCTACGCACATGCGCGTGCTGCGCCATCCTAAAATTGGCGTGACAGGAAATTCACGCCGGAAAACGGCATGACGTGGGCGTCACGCCGTCCTCTGGCGTGAATGTACCATGTGGATTGTTGCGTACAATGCGTCTCATGAGAAAAGTCGTGACAAAAACCGGCATGACAGGAAATTCACGCCAAAACGTGGCGTTCATTCTGAGCCGCGTCGATTATTGTCATGACTTTTCTGTCACCGGTTTCTTTTTGGCGTGACACTTAATTCGTGCTCCTGCAGCGGCACGTACTTACGCTGGTATATTTTCAGTGCAAGTGCCTGAAGCGTAGTTGCACGTTTCAAGAAGGGCGTTGTAGAACTAAAGAGTGGGGTAATTCCGGACGCTTTTTTTCTTTTTGGTCTTTGAGCTTGAATATGGGTCTTGGGTCAAATGTTACTACAGGAGAGTAAAGTATGGACCTTTACCTTCAAAATGATATACATGAAAGCCGAATCTCAGCAACGGTTAGGGAGATATAGGCGCCTAACAAAAGCCCTGCACGTGTCTGGAATTACCCCAGCCTGGGGCAATTCCGGACGACCTTAAAATTTGACACTTCTCGAGCTTACTTTCGCTTGTTTTGATGTGAGGCATGCTTTTAGAAAGCGTAGAAGGACATTTGCTGCGAACTGAAGTGTTTGATTATTACTCAAAGCATATTATACGGAATAGTTTATATCAATACCCCTAAATTGACAACACTGTCTTGAGTAAAGCTCTTAAACATAGCTGCAATGCTATTTTTCGTTCTTTCTTTATCCTTCTTAACGGTGGAGATGCATGTCCACAATTTTGAACCCACTACCTTAACATTATGCGGGAAATTGAAGAAAATAACCCTTCTTGTCCGGATTTACCCCACAGGTAGTGAAAACCTTTGATGTTCAATTGTAAGGAAACGGCGAGCCATACGAGCACTCCCGAAACGCCAAAGTAAAGTCCAATGACCATATAATATGACAAAATTTTAGTCATGGGGTTGAACTTGACGGTAAGGTACGATAAGTACATGGAAATACGAGGTTAAGATGCAGCTTTTGCCTATTTTTGATGGTACTCAAATTTCGTGAAGCGACCACAGCCAAACGGTTTGACCTCCTACCTCGGCGATTTTGAATTATCATTTTTAACTGATTATCTTCCTCTGTTGGGCGGGCTTTTGAGTTATCTTCACTCGAACCCAGTGAAAATCGAAGTGTCCGGAATTACCCCGTGTCCGGAATTACCCCACTCTCCAGGTTTCAGTTTCACCAGTGGTCCCATTCATATCCAAACGATTGTGACACAATGCTCAAAGCATGTCACAGCATGCACGTGGCATTTTGTCACACTTATTTCAACGTGATGCCACGTTTCTAGAATCAAAGCGTGCACTGCAAACCTAACTGTCTACTTAGTACACACTTACAAATGCATGCTTGCAAGTACACACTTACAAACGCATGCTTGACGCCGTAGAACTCCATGCGTCAAGCATGCGTTTGTAAGTGTGTACTTGCAAGCATGCATTTGTACCGTAAGCCGGGGTAATATGAGACAATTTCGGGGTAATATGAGACGGAGTTTGTTTTGCGTAAGATTCACTCTGAGCTCGCTATTCGGCCACAAAGAGGGCCACCACTATAACAAATTCATTACTCATGATGATACCATTTTTTGCCGTGAAGTTTGACAGGGATGAGTCATCAAATGCCACCGGCATTACAATTCTAACGATATAAGTCATGTGTCTCATATTACCCCGAAATTGTCTCATATTACCCCGGCTTACGGTAAGTGTGTACTTGGCCAAGCATGCGTTTGTAAGTGTGTACTTGCAAGCACGCATTTGTAAGTGTGTACTTAGTAGACAGTTAGGTTTGTAGTGTACACTCTACCAAAAATGTCCTGTAAATGCCGTTAATTTATTACCAGTTTTCACTGTAGGTCAATTCACAGCGTTTACTGCGATCTGCTCACGGGATTCACTGTGATCTTGTTCGCGGTGTTCACTGTGATCTGGTCCCCAGTAAACACTGTGAGTTTAACGCCGCTAAGCACCGAAGTACTGCAAATCAGGCTCCAATTCACGGCGTTTACTGTGGCCAGATCACAGTGAACACTGTAACCGAGATCACAGTGAACGCCGTGAATTGCATAACAGCAAACATTGGTAATAAATTAACGGCGTTGACAGGACATTTTTTGTAGAGTGTAGTGCGTTTCTAGTCCGGCTTGCCTGATGTGCAGAGTCGACCCAGGGTCTTCCTGATGGCCGCCTCGAACGGCGAGTCTTTGCTCGTCCTGAAGAAGGTCCTGATGGTGCGCAGGGGAGCGGCGAAGGTGTGCAGGCGGCCCCCGACGAGCCACGGCCGGATGACGGGCAGGGCCTCTTCGCCGAGGACAAGGGCGCAGTTCCGCCACTCGGCCACGGGCGGGATCAGGGCGGCCACAGGGGAGTGCATGTCGAAGCTAGGAGGGAATAAATCGAGGAGTCCTATTCAAACGATCTAATATGGGCGCTGCTGTTCAAAGAATCTTATCAGCAACGCAAGCGAATTTCACTAAGTTTGATCATTTAAGACAGCTACAAATCAGAATAATTTGTGATTGAAGTCACACAAACTTAAAGATGAAAGATCAAAGAAACCAATAGTGCGTGTAGAAATATGTTCCGCTCTTATCCGTTCCAAATGGTCAAACTTGGTGAAATTCGCTTGCGTTGCAGATTAGATTCTTTGAACAGGAGCGCCCAGATAAGATCTTTTGAACAGGACCCCACGAAATGCAGACAATTCTTGTGAGTTTAGCACACCAAATAAAGTTCACATTCATTCAGTGAGGTTTAAAAACTACGAGTGTGCGCGTGTATGTTTGTCTGTGTAATCGGACGACAACAACTCCTGAATGGTCGATCTGGCTAAGAGGTGGGCCATTAAGGATTGTCCTTCGCTCGCCACACGCCAACAACAATTATCTTTCCGTCTTAATCCACTCAGTCATACCAAAAAATTAACACCAAAAGAAAACTGTAGAAAAAAAGACAAATTTTCGGTCACAAATGTTTCTGCCTGGTTCCTTTCGTACGTTCTCGAAGGTGTTGATGACAAAAATGAATCCACATCGAGCTAATTATAGTTCTTTCGTGATTTTTTTTTCTTGACAACTGTTGAAGATTTAGTCTAACAAATCTATTACAGTATTGGGGACGAGTCTCTCTGAAATTTCTTTCCCATCAGGAATGTGAATAAAATCTCACAAAATCTAAAATATGAGTCGTTTTTCCAAAATTTTCAAAACAAAATTTTTAAAAGGTGCTTCTAATACGTACAAGTCCCCTAAGTTGCCGATAAATTTTCCTGATATGAGCTCTTGAAGCTCACTTAATGACAATTTCTAGGCTAATTTTCCTTTCAAGGCTGCTATCTAAACATTTAAGGACATATTTGTCTCGCCCATTTACTAGTGTAGGAGCTTCGATAAAAGTGTCATCCACGATTTTGACATTCGGAGACAACAAATTTTTACAATGGAGCGTTACGCAGCACAGAACCCTCCTGTCCTTTCCAGTGAGTGACGTATTAAATGGGCATCCCCTTCGCACTTACACTACCCTATCGTGCACATGTAGAGGTAGCAGGTTCTTGACGCTGCCGTACGATTCAGGACGGACTATGATGCTGAGGTTGCTGTGCACCAAGTCCTCCAAATTGTCAATTTCGTCCACGGAGCGAGCCACGCTCAGGTCGCTTAGCAGTTGGCCCTGGTACGCGGCCGACAGCACCAGACACACGGCCAGCCAGCTTCCGAGCAGGGGCCGCTGCTGCAACCAACCGGCCATTTCATTTTAGCATCCAGAAAGGTCTAGGAAGCGCCTGCATTCTTCGCACACAGCGAATGAAGACACTGTGACATAGTGTTGTTGTGCAAAGTATTGTACTTCAGAAATAGAAACATTACTTCGTGATTTTGAATGCCTTCCACTTCTACCTATTACGAAGCAAAACTTGTAGACTTACATATACCTGCGTGGAGGTGCGGCCAGGTGTTTGAATGTCATAAATTACGGCGTTCCAGATTCCTGGGTTTCTTTCGGCCTACCTCACTTCATTCCCGTACTACAGTGGTAAAACTAAAGCGTAGTATTACCCTCTGTTTTCAAGCGTCATCAGGTTACGCTTGAAATCAAGCGTAACAGGCTCATCCGCCAAGTTTCCCCCTATCTAAATGCATGGGATTTTCCAGAGTATTCTTCATTTCAAGCGTAACGTCTTCAAGCGTAACCTTGTGCTTGACTCAAGCACAGAGGTACGCTTTAGTTTTACCAGTATAGTTACGTTTCGGGCTGACTATATGGAAAATCCATCTGGATTTAAACTTGTAATAATGGTATGAACTCACCAATTGCCGAACGGTGGTTTTACTCGGTAGTGGCTGTTGTACAAGTGGAGCCAATGCCAGAAGCGCAGCAGAAGAACTTGTGCGCTTTGAAAACTGGCTACAAAGGAACCTGTTGTTAGTAAACGTTACTGCATTTCGCTTTCAGTTAAGCCAATCGGACAAGGGTCACCACAACGAAAGTATGTGACCATGAACCTATGCATCAGGCAGTAGAACCCCATCGCCACCGAGCACGCAGCCGTGCCCGTGGCGCACCACAGCTCCGTGGAAAACTCCCCCGTGATGCCGTTGAAGGGGCTGCGATGGCGGCCTAGGCCAGCGGGCACCACGATGATCACAGTGTAGAGGCGCAACGGGAAATCGACCATCCCGGGCCTTTGTTCGACGTTGATCGTCATACTGGCCGCCAGTGCGTCCAAGCGGCAGTCGAACAGGTTCTTCAGCGCCTCCACCGTGCCGAAGGCGTCCACACGCACCTGCACATGAGTTCCCCTGAGTCGAAGTCTAATCTTGAAAAGGCAAACCATACCCATTATACCAAGAAAATCAAGCATGAAACGAAGTTTGGACCAAATTTTCACGAATTCGGAGACCGAAAAAGTACGTTTCTATGCAAACCACCCACCAAGAACATAGGTCAAATTTCATCGTTAGACATTAAGAGTGAAAGCGACAGCGAGTTTCTATGGATGAAGCTCATACCCGCTCAAAACGAAGCCTGGCCGCACGCTCCACTTCTCGGAGGACGTTTTCTACCGGGGCGTCCCAAATCGCAAGAGCCGCAGGGTCCGATATGAAGGCCGGCCAAAAGACTTGCAGACGCTGGCCGTCGTCGGGTGGCATCCACCTGAGCGAAGAAAACAGAATGGTATCTATTTTAAACGACTGAGGATACTGAGATTCCAAACGCTATGAATATAGCACTTATGGTGCAGCATTGAGACATCGTACGATACACACTCTTAACACATTACGTAGTATTCTGAGCATACACAGTATTTTTTTTAAATGAGTTTTTTGCCTATTTTTCAATTTTTTTTTGTGTTTGTAAAATAAAGTAGGGCTGATTTCAAGATTCCGTCACTAGAATTTGCCGACCAGTTATCAAAGAATAGAGTCCATGCAAGACGACTCGTGCTTGTGTCAACCACGAACGCAGAAAGTCTTTTCTACGACAAAATTTTTTGTCGACTGAGCAAAGCTGTGAAGTTAAACGTATAAGCCAACGACAACTGATATTAATGTTACTTCTTTCCAAATGATAAAGAAACTACCCACTTAGGGTCAGGGCGGGGAAAAACTGGACAGGGGAAGAACTGGACACCCCACATTTTACTTCAAATGCCGTATGTAAGCTTACTGGCCCGACAACTGTCGTGTAATGAACCGCTGATGCCACGGAACAACTTTTGATAGTTGTTATTCCTGTGCCTACGGTATTTGAAGTAAAATATGGGGTGTCCAGTTCTTCCCCTGTCCAGTTCTTCCCCGCCCTGACCCTATGCACATTTTTATTATCTATGAACTTTGAAAACACTATTTTTACAATTTTGGCCATTTTTTCATCAGGGCCCCCATTGAAGTTCCGTCTCATCTCTTCCCCAAAGAACCCTATTACGGCCCGTCCTCAGTAATTTCAAATAATCACAAGGTAGGTGTACGCCAGACCGTGTCTTGTCGTAACAGGCTTCGCGATGCTGCGCCAGTTACAACAATCCACGCCTGGCGTTACACCTACCTTGGCCTGCGGCGCTTGCCTGCCTTCGGCAGGCTAGGTTTCTTTTCCAGGCATCCGCACACCAATTTGCGTGATTGAAGGTCAAAACAGCATTTGATTTCGTGCCTAAGGCTGCCTGACTTTTTAACTTGCCGAGGCTGGGGGGCTAGACCCCCCATTGGCCTGACTTTTTAACTTGTCGAGGCTCCAGACCCCCTTTTCTTCAAGACAGAAGTGATCTGCCTGCAGAAAACTCGATTTTTCGCCGTTTTTTAGGTGTTTTTCGGCTATAAAAACCGAACCAGTTGAGCTAGGATAGTGAAATTTCGTGTGTGCTGAGCCAAGGACATACTCAAAAAGTGTGCAAAATCTCACCGAGATCGGCCGAGCCGTTCAGGAGGAGTAGCGCGGACACACACACACACACATACACACGCACGCAGACAGGAAAAAAATTTCAACCCCACCTGAGTAACAGGCTTCGCTATCGCTCAGCCAATAACTCTCTTTATCAGCAATGCGTCCAACATAATTTAGTAATCTTTTCGTGACAGGTTTCTGTAGTGACCTCTAAAAGATACATTGTACCGGCGCCTTAGGCAGATACAAACCTGCAGGACTGCATCCCATGAGTTTGGGGTGGAAACCTCATTGAGATTTACAAGAATCGAATGTCAATTATTAACTAATAAAGCTAGTTTTTGGTGCCTTAGATGTTACCTCCAGCAGTGCGGCGAGAACACTGCGGTTCCACGCTGCCATTCGCCGTTCGACCATTCGTTCAAGGGGTCCACCGTCACCTGCAGCTTTAGCAAACTTAACATTAAACGAATGTTTTCTCCAACCGTAAAAACCATTTCTTGCAATGAGAAAATTCATTCGTAAATAGGCAAATTTACTTGGTAAAAGAATTTCACCTCACTAAATCATCTTCGTTCCAAGTAACTTTTCAAATAACAATAGATGTTGAGGCGTGTGCACACCAATAGGTGACACTTTTAGTACCTTTTTCGGCGATAAAATTAGGTATCGCCCAACAATCGGCCACTCAGAAAATATTGCCCGCAAAACGGTGAAACACGAATGTATCGCCAGAATATGGCCAAAACTTTGAACGAGTCAAGGGGACCAGTTGATTGTTTATTATTAAATCTTGGGTAAACTCCAAAAGTATCGCCATTTTGACGATAATTGCAACGACGAAAAAGATACTAAAAGCATCACCCCTTGTTTCGGAGTACAGTCATAACCACACACACAAAATGTTAATGTACTTTCATTCTCCATAACTTTTGACATATTTGTGCACAAGCTATAAAGAAATATCATGCTTCAATATTAATAAAATTAAACCTAATATGTGATCCAATTTTTTCACCAATCACCTGAATGTCAACACTCATACACAAAACGTCCATAGGGTCAGGGCGGGGAAAAACTGGACAGGGGAAGAACTGGACACCCCACATTTTACTTCAAATGCCGTATGAACTGGCCTGACAACTGTCGTGTAATGAACCGCTGATGCCACGGAACAACTTTTGATAGTTGTTATTCCTGTGCCTACGGTATTTGAAGTAAAATATGGGGTGTCCAGTTCTTTCCCTGTCCAGTTCTTCCCCGCCCTGACCCTAAGCATTCAGCGCGCGCATTAAGTCATTGGTCAAACAAGCGCATTGAATCGTTCAATGCCCTTCGGAGAACATTAAAATATTGGCTTTACCAATTCGAGCCCTTGAAGGGCGTGGAAGACAGTTTACACCCTGGCGGGCTTAGTTCTTATGCCTTTGTTTTACCAGTGTAGTTTCTCTGCGCGCAGCGTTATTCATCCACCCATCCATCTATCCATCCAGGTTCACCTCCTGGCCGCACTTGGTGCTCAGCGCGTAGAGGCGCGTCACGCCGTCGCCGCACGAGACGGCCACGCGCACTTGGAGGAGGCAGCTCCAGGTCGTGGCCAGACGACTGAGGTTCCCGGTCGACGGCGGGCCGGACGAAAACGTCCAGAGCAGCGCGCGCGAGTAAGTTGGAATCAGGTCCTGATATTTGCTCAAGGCCAGTACATCAAAACAAAATAAATGAGCGGGACTGGAATGAAAACGTCATGATCATGACTGACATTGCACGCAATAAAGATTGAATTCAGCGCAAACAAGGCGACTCGGGGCAATCTAGCCTTTGTCCTCCGAATATGTTTTATGACAACGTCAGTGGGCTTCCAATGATGGCTTGCACGTAATCTACACTCTCATTCCAAGTACGTGACATCACGTGACACAATGTCACGTTCGTTTCAACGTGGTGTCGGTGTCACGTTCCTGGAATGAGAGTGCAATGGGCTACAGGCTAGAGCCGAAAAGCTTACGCGACACCTACCAACAAATCTTCGAAATCATCTGCGAGGATCATGACTAGGTGGCGAGCTGCCTCCATGTCTCGGTAGAGGAGATCCGGCGGCGGCCACATGGACGCGTTGTCGGACAGAAGGGTCACGGTGACTGGCGGCAGTCGAAGCAAGAAGGGGCCCAGCCGCCCTGAGTTGCCTACAATGTGAAGCCGTCCTGCAAGCAGCGACAAAGGGTACTTCAATACACCGCAAACTCCGCTGCATTTCGCTGAGAATGAAAGAGTCATGATCATGACTAAAATTTTGGGCGAGGAATTCTTCCTCACCCAAACTTGGGTCAAAATACTATGGAGCTATGTAGGTAGCTGATACACCCTTCCTCGCCCAAATTTGGGTGAGGAAGAATGAATACCTCGCCAAAAATTGGGCATTGATCATGACTTTTTCATTCTCAGTGAAATTAGGACGAAATTTGTTAATTCATCACAATTTATTGCTTTGTTTAAATTAACCGCGAAGGTGACATATTTTTCCTGAGAACACTAGTAAAACCCAGGCATAAAAACTGAGCCCGAAAGGGCATAAACAGGCCTTAACACCTTTTAAGGGTTTAGCTCCTTGTGACGCCTAGTTCATTTCAAAACTTCGAGGGTGCAGAATGCACCCTCATGATACGGTTTATCTCATACGTAAGTGATAACGGCAGAAAATGTGTTGAGTAGAATCTTTCAGTCCATAGTATTCGCGAAAACATATTTGGAAAACATTTAGAACGTTGAACGGTTCTATTTCCTTACTTGATTAATAGCTTAGCATCTTTGTTTACGTACCAGCTGATGGTCGCGAATTGTTGAGGTGCTGTGAAACTATGGACAATGCACAACGAACTTCCTCGACCGACTCCGTCGCACCGGCCGCTCGGTCCGTGACCAGGACGGCCATCAAAAGCACGGTCAGTGGCTCCAGCATGCCAACCTGCAAACTGTTCCCCATTGAAATACCTCCGGTCGCAGTGGCAAAAATCGCACTGCAAAGCCGGTGGTAAGTGTCCTTGCCACAAATTTGGCAAGCCGTTTCGAATGCCAAAAACTGGCAAGCTTGGCCCGGAAATAATCCCCAGCTTGCCAAAATTTGGCAAGCTTGTGAAGATTTCCGACCAAAGCTTGCCAAATTTTGGCATTCAAAACGGGTTGCCAAATTTGTGGCAAGTAAACTTACCACCGGCTTTACAGTGCGATACGGAAAAGTATGTAAACAACTTGTAAAAATTCCCCGTAGCCCTCTAGTCAATATTCTCCGAGGGACCTTACAGTCTTCCAGAGAACTGTGAGGTCCTACGGAGAAAACTGTAAGGTTCTACGGAGAATATTGACAGGGGCTGTCCAGGCGCAGATCACTTGATGACAGCTTCAAGGCTAATTTTCCTTACAAGAATGTCATCAAATGTATTGAGGCCCTTGTTATTACGCCCTTGCAGTGTTGGAACTGTGATGAAAATTGACCCGTAAGATAACCATCCTATCTCGCGATAACGCAGGATACCATCTTAACTCTCAAACTAAACCTATCAAGTGCGGATAGTCGTCCAGCGCCTCTCCGCGAGTAGCAAAAGATGGTCCTCTATAGAGCCCTGGCGAGTTGGGAATGTTTTCTTAGGAGGGGTCGAAACGTCATCATTTTCAAGTGATGGTGCAAGATTCTGTCCATCCATATTATGATAACAAATTTTACGAAGGGGCAACCACTTGAGAAATCTTGTCTTCTCGATCTTGAGCACCCGATAAATCTCTGGAAATCTAAAATCCTTCTAAAAAAGGGAAAAAAAGGCAAGATTTGGGTGTAAAGTCGGTCGGCATCTTTGCAAACTCCGACAAAAGCTCTTGCCTGAAGAAATCTTATATCCTTCGAAAGTGGTTGTCCCTTCGAAATTTCCCTTCGAACTCACTTTTTCGGGTGCA